TAACTACCGTGGTTGTCCAGTAATGACTGTAGCTACCGTGGTTGTCCACTAGTGACTGTAGCTACCGTGGTTGTCCAGTAGTGACTGTAGCTACCGTGGTTGTCCAGTAGTGACTGTAACTACCGTGGTTGTCCAGTAATGACTGTAGCTACCGTGGTTGTCCAGTAGTGACTGTAGCTACCGTGGTTGTCCAGTAGTGACTGTAGCTACCGTGGTTGTCCAGTAGTGACTGTAGCTACCGTGGTTGTCCAGTAATGGCTGTAGCTACCGTGGTTGTCCAGTAGTGACTGTAACTACCGTGGTTGTCCAGTAGTGACTGTAACTACCGTGGTTGTCCAGTAGTGACTGTAACTACTGTGGTTGTCCAGTAGTGACTGTAACTACCGTGGTTGTCCAGTAGTGACTACACTCCGTGGTTGTCCAGTAGTGACTGTAACTACCGTGGTTGTCCAGTAGTGACTGTAGCTACCGTGGTTGTCCAGTAGTGACTGTAACTACCGTGGTTGTCCAGTAGTGACTGTAACTACCGTGGTTGTCCAGTAGTGACTGTAACTACCGTGGTTGTCCAGTAGTGACTACAACTGCCGTGGTTGTCCAGTAGTGACTGTAGCTGCCGTGGTTGTCCAGTAGTGACTGTAGCTACCGTGGTTGTCCAGTAGTGACTGTAACTACCGTTGGTTTGTACTCGTCAGTAGTGACTGTAACTACCGTGGTTGTCCAGTAGTGACTACAACTGCCGTGGTTGTCCAGTAGTGACTGTAGCTGCCGTGGTTGTCCAGTAGTGACTGTAGCTACCGTGGTTGTCCAGTAGTGACTGTAGCTACCGTGGTTGTCCAGTAGTGACTGTAACTACCGTGGTTGTCCAGTAGTGACTACAACTGCCGTGGTTGTCCAGTAGTGACTGTAGCTGCCGTGGTTGTCAGTAGTGACTGAGCTCCGTGGTTGCCAGTAGTGACTGTAGCTACCGTGGTTGTCCAGTAGTGACTGTAACTACCGTGGTTGTCCAGTAGTGACTGTAACTACCGTGGTTGTCCAGTAGTGACTGTAACTACCGTGGTTGTCCAGTAGTGACTAACTACCGTGGTTGTCCAGTAGTGACTACAACTGCCGTGGTTGTCCAGTAGTGACTAACTACCGTGGTTGTCCAGTAGTGACTTAAACTGCAGTGTGTCAGTATGACTGTATCCGTGATTGTCAGTAGTGACTGTAACTACAGTGGTTGTCTAGGATAACTCCGGTTCCAGTAGTGACATACGGTGTCCGTATGACTACAATGCGTGGTTGTCCAGTAGTGACTGAACTACAGTGGTTGTCCAGTAGTGACTTAACACATGTGCCGTGTGCTACAGTGGTTGTCCAGTAGTGACTACAACTGCCGTGGTTGTCCAGTAGTAACTGTAGCTGCCGTGGTTGGATGGGACAGGTGAACCTACCTTCACTTGATCATTAATAGAACCCTCCGTCACAACACCAGGTTTGTCATGTTGCTGACACATAATGTTGGTGTTTCAGCTGTCAAGACTCAACATCATATTATGATTATTTTCTTTGTTTTCTAAGTTTTAGGTCGCATTTTCGATTTATTTGGCTCCCAACGACGTGTTCTTTTTATATTTTTTTTTTTCATAGACAGACAACCTGTGAGTCTCAGGAAGATCAGTGTTATGTATGGATAAGTAATCACACGCTGAACACTGATATTGTCTTCTAAACAGCTATAGGGATACACTTCTCTGGCTATAGGGATACACTTCTCTTGCTATATGGATACACTTCTCTGGCTATATGGATACACTTCTCTTGCTATATGGATACACTTCTCTGGCTATATGGATACACTTCTCTGGCTATAGGGATACACTTCTCTGGCTATAGGGATACACTTCTCTGGCTATAGGGATACACTTCTCTTGCTATATGGATACACTTCTCTTGCTATATGGATACACTTCTCTGGCTATATGGATACACTTCTCTGGCTATAGGGATACACTTCTCTGGCTATAGGGATACACTTCTCTGGCTATAGGGATACACTTCTCTTGCTATATGGATACACTTCTCTGGCTATAGGGATACACTTCTCTGTCTATAGGGATACACTTCTCTGTCTATAGGGATACACTTCTCTGGCTATATGGATACACTTCTCTGGCTATAGGGATACACTTCTCTGGCTATAGGGATACACTTCTCTTGCTATATGGATACACTTCTCTGTCTATAGGGATACACTTCTCTTGCTATATGGATACACTTCTCTGGCTATAGGGATACACTTCTCTGGTTATAGGGATACACTTCTCTGTTTATAGGGATACACTTCTCTGTCTATAGGGATACACTTCTCTGGCTTTAGGGATACACTTCTCTTGCTATATGGATACACTTCTCTGTCTATAGGGATACACTTCTCTGTCTATAGGGATACACCTCTCTGGCTATAGGGATACACTTCTCTTGCTATATGGATATACTTCTCTGGCTATAGGGATACACTTCTCTGGCTATAGGGATACACTTCTCTGTCTATAGGGATACACTTATCTGTCTATAGGTATACACTTCTCTGTCTATAGGGATACACCTCTCTGTCTATATGGATACACTTCTCTGTCTATAGGGATGCACCTCTCTGTCTATAGGGATACACTTCTCTGTCTATAGGGATACACTTCTCTGTCTATAGGGATAGACCTCTCTGGCTTTAGGGATACACTTCTCTGTCTATAGGGATACACCTCTCTGGCTTTAGGGATACACTTCTCTGTTTATAGGGATACACTTCTCTGTCTATAAGGATACATTTCTCTGGCTATAGAGATACACTTCTCTTGCTATATGGATACACTTCTCTGTCTATAGGGATACACTTCTCTTGCTATATGGATACACTTCTCTGTCTATAGGGATACACTTCTCTGTCTATAGGGATACACTTCTCTTGCTATATGGATACACTTCTCTGTCTATAGGGATACACTTCTCTGGCTATAGGGATACACTTCTCTTGCTATATGAATACACTTCTCTGGCTATATGGATACACTTCTCTGGCTATAGGGATACACTTCTCTTGCTATATGGATACACTTCTCTTGCTATATGAATACACTTCTCTGGCTATATGGATACACTTCTCTGGCTATATGAATACACTTCTCTGGCTATATGGATACACTTCTCTGGCTATATGGATACACTTCTCTGGCTATATGGATACACTTCTCTGGCTATATGGATACACTTCTCTGGCTATATGGATACACTTCTCTGGCTATATGGATACACTTCTCTGGCTATATGGATACACTTCTCTGGCTATATGGATACACTTCTCTGGCTATAGGAAAATGCGTAAAAATTTGCATGTTGTAGAAATCAAGTTTGCCTTAAAAAAAGGTCAAACTTGATTTTTTTTCTGCTGAATAATCCAGTTTCCCAGTAGTCTAGAGAAAAAGAATGGTTATATCTATGGGCATAATTTTTCAAGGAGTGGAGGGGTAAGCCAGTGGAAGGCCTCGGTCAGATGACCAAAAGCTCCAGATGCGAGTCATCATCTGACTAAGACTCGCGTCAGGAAACACTTGTCCTGTTTCCTGACAAACCTTACAGTAAATAGGTACTGTAATTAGGTGTTAGACGAGTGTTGTGGGGATACCTTCCTAGTTTATCTCAGGCATGACTGGTTTTGAAATGAATCATGGCAGGAAAACAGGTCTTTGCCTTTTAATTCAGTTGTAAAAAAACAATGAGCCTTGAAATGTTAGTATACCTGCAGACATGTTAACATAAACCATGGTAAACTTTGTCAGCCAGTTTGAGGGTGGATCACTGCATGGTAGGCAAAGTTGTCGCTTCACACGCTGAGTGTCTGGGTTCGATTCCAGGCAAGGGTAGAAACATTGGGCGTGTTCCCTTACACTGGTTGCCCCTGTTCACCCATCAGTAAAATGGGGACCTGGGTGTTATTCGACTGGTGTGGGTCGCATCCTGGGGACAAAATTGACTTAATTTGCCCGAAATGCTCAGCATAACAAGCGGCTTTCTGTATAGTAGTATGTCACTGATGTCAGCTAGGATTGTATACCTCGTACATGTACTTGTAGAAATAAAAGATATTATTATTATTATTATTATTATTATTATTATTATTATTATTATTATTATTATTATTATTATTGTTGTTATTATAATTATTATTATTATTATTTTTATTATTTATTATTATTATTATTATTATATTATTTTATTATTATTATTATTATATTTATTATATTAATTATTATTATTATTATTATCATAGCTGGCAGCTTCAGCACACCATCTCTTCTTCAAGTCATTTTAACTCTTATCATTCTCTTTCAGGAAATACTTCTTAATATATTTCCCGCACAGTTTTTCCTAATAAAAAATTAAGGTCTTTTATTTGTTTAAAGAGAAGAGGAGGGGCCTTGATGCTGGTCGAGAACTCTTGCTCCAGAGCTGAAGCTACCCTCTCACTTCTCGGCACAAGCAAGATTACCTTGATTCCCCGTGCGCTGTATGACCCCCTGTGAGATTAGCGCTTCACCATCAATAATACTGTAACTCTAGCAACAATTTTGTTTGTGAAATTCGGGACCTGAGTCATAGGAGCAGTGTTGACGAAGAGACTTGAGTCGTAAGAGCAGTGTTGACGAAGAGACTTGAGTCGTAAGAGCAGTGTTGACGAAGAGACTTGAGTCGTAAGAGCAGTGTTGATGAAGACACCTGAGTCATAAAATCAGTGTTGACGAAGATACCTGAGTCATAAGAACAGTGTTGACGAAGATACCTGAGTCATAAGAGCAGTGTTGACGAAGATACCTGAGTCATAAAAACAGTGTTGGCGAAGATACCTGAGTCATAAGAACAGTGTTGACGAAGATACCTGAGTCATAAGAGCAGTTTTGACGAAGATACCTGAGTCATAAAAACAGTGTTGACGAAGATACCTGAGTCATAAGAACAGTGTTGACGAAGATACCTGAGTCATAAGAACAGTGTTGACGAAGATACCTGAGTCATAAGAACAGTGCTGACGAAGACACCCGAGTTTTATACTTGCTACTTAGGAAAAAGAAACTTATTTCCAACAAACTTTTATTTCATATTTATATTCGCGACAGTTTATGGTCTTCCTCCTTTACATGGTTCGTTATTTTAGCTGCACAGACATTAATAATGTGCGGTCTCATAAAGTGTTTTAATACAAATATATTATTCTTAGCACCAACGATGGTTGTAATATGCTACAAAGGGTCATGACCTGGCTGTGGTTAGGTCATAGCAGAGTAGAGGAATCATTCAGCAGAAGCAGCCTCCAGTGGGGGCACAGGACAGGTCAAACCAGGTCAGGACGGGGTAAGAGGAGCCTTGTATATGTAGAAATAATACCATAGAAGCCATAAAGACGGTCTTATTTTCTTATGTTTGTCGGCGACGAAGAATACCGTTTATGGAGAGTTTGTTGGCGCTGGTGAAGTGCCGGTGGAGGGCGATGGAGCGCCAGAGCCACCAGCCGGGAGAGTGCAGAGTCGTCCCCAAAAGTGCCACTATATCCACCACTGTTGACATGACCATCTGTATCACCTCGCGAGGTTGCTAGATCAGACTCCTCCTCCTCCTCCTCATTGGACTCCTGCATCAGCGAAGCCAGGACGGAGGATAGAGACTCCGAAGGGTCCTTATAGAAGAGAGGATCAGGTGCAGAACCATCCAGGGTGCGGGAGAGTGAACGTAGAACCTGTGAGAGATGAGAGTCCCTGGTGGAGCTTACTCCAGGCTTCAATAGGCCTTGTAGCCCTAAGTAGTCAGCCTCGGTCATGCTGGTGCTGCTGCAAAGATAAAAGTGCATATCAGTCTTAAAGTCATTATTTAACTGGGAAGAAGAATACAAGTCACATAACTGTAATGATCATCCCAGTCACGTGTTCTAGGCACTCTCAGAACTTCTGTCAAATATATCAGTGCCTTTGCATAACCTCTGTTATGTATCTTAATGTTTCATCATAACCTCAACAATGCATCTTAATGTTTCATCATAACCTCAACAATGTATCTTAATGTCTCATCATAACCTCAACAATGTATCTTAATGTCTCATCATAACCTCAACAATGTATCTTAATGTCTCATCATAACCTTCAGAGTGTCATGCTACTGCAGTGTCCACTGATGGTTCTAAATCTCCGGTGGTGTCAAATATGCTGCTGTTTTACCTGTACGAGTTATCAGGTCATTTATTAGAATCGGCTAGTATTTTCACAGAAGAATTATACGCTACTCTCGCTGCTATCATACGCGTTACGACTATGTCCGCCTAGTTATTCGTAGTTGTTCCGGAGTACCAGAGTAAGTTGCAGGCTATTAAAGAAGTTGTATTTTGTTGGGCCTCTGGACATGCCGAAGTTCAAGATAATGAACATATAGATTCAGTCGTTCAGTCAGCTATTCAGGATTTCCCGATTTCCTAATGAGAAATAGTCCATATTTGGACTATTTTTCTGTTCTCACTATCTCCTCAACCACGTTGGTCCGTGTTGGACCACAGCTAATATTTTATCTATCAAACTACGTTTAGTATTCTGGCCATCTTCTTCCTACAGTTGTCGGGTTTAGGAGACATTAAATTGGATGAGGTTCGCCAGTACTGTCCCAGCTCGGGTCTTGTCCAGTTGGTGACCCGGCGTTTGGGAGACAGTACTCCCACTATTACATACTGATACCACATGAACAAACGACCGGCACATCGTTGTGAGGACTATCAGGTCACACTGTCCGTTCAACATGTCTTAATAGGTAAAAATGCCACAGTAATATAGTAAATTCTTGTATAACTTTAAGTCTGTTAGGGCGGGACTTACCTGTGAGCCAGAGAGTCGCTCCGCCGGCGGCGCTGGAAGTTGAAACAACAGGCACGGAAGTTGCGGGTGCCACAGGCTGACTGGCATTCAGAGCCACATGATGCACAAGACACCTCGCTGCTGCTCCACGCCCGTGTACCACCCACCACCACCGCCCACGCTGTCAAGGGAAAAAAAGAAAATCATTAGGCCTAAAGCTAAGAAATATGTATACTATTGACACATGCTGGAATAGCCCAACTTACAAGATTATGCCCATGAATACCTGGGTATATACGTATGAATTCTATGCATACAAGCATACAAACTGTGTAAAATATGTATGTGTATGTGTACGGATTTGATAATGCTTTGAACGGTGAGTACATGCTCGTGCGCGCGCATGTACTCATCGATTTATATTTGTGGATGTCGAGTTACCAGATTTAATGTTCCCTGGCCTTGTGGGACGTATTATACCTACTCTTCAAACTGTGTATTAAGTTTGCTTCTACCACTTCATCATGTAGGTCATACCAAATTTACTTACAACATTCAGACTGAATAAGTATTTCCTCTTGTAGATGAATGGTTCACAGAACCGACACGTTGATAAATTAGACACATGTGCATCTCTAGGGTATCTGTATTAAGGAAACGTTTTGCCACACAATGGCTTCATCAGTCCATACACAGGAGAAACTTGAAGAACAGGAGGAGAATGAGGTAATCAGTCCCTCAACCTTGAGTCGATGTGGTCAGTCCATCAATCTTGAATAGAATACGGCATATGAGCGGAGAAGCAGCTTATAAACCGTAGGCAGGAGAGGTGCAGCAGTCATAGGTGGTGTCACATTTGTTCAATGTGGAAGTAGGTCGTGCCCAAGGGTTAGGCAAGCGAAGAATTCCCAAGTATTAAGATCCCAAGAAGTTGCAGTGTCTGACAGGATTGTAGATGTCTAATTTATCAACATGTCGGTTCTGTGAACTATTCATCTACAATCCTGTCAGACACTGCAACTTCTTGGGATCTTAATACTTGGGAATTCTTCGCTTGCCTAATTCTTGGGCACGACCTACTTCCACATTGAACAAATGTGACACCACCTACGACTGCTGCACCTCTCCTGCCTACGGTTTATAAGCTACTCCGCTCATATGCCGTATTCTATTCAAGATTGATGGACTGACCACATCGACTCAAGGTTGAGGGACTGATTACCTCATTCTCCTCCTGTTCTTCAAGTTTCTCCTGTGTATGGACTGATGAAGCCACTGTGTGGCGAAACGTTTCCTTAATAAAGATACCCTAGAGATGCACATGTGTCTAATTTATCAAGTATTTCCTCTCCTGTGTCTCTACTTTCATGATCCTTCGCCCATGTGTGTGTGTGTGTGTGTATGTACAAATGTATATATATATGTATATGTGTGAGTGAGTGTACTCACCTCTTCGTTGCAGGGGTCGATTCATAACCCTGTCTCTTCACTGATCGCTACTAGGTCCTCTCTCTCCCTGCTCCATGAGCTTTATCATACCTCGTCTTAAAACTATGTATGGTTCCTGCCTCCACTACATCACTTGCCAGACTATTCCATTTCCTGACAACTCTATGACTGAAGAAATACTTCCTAACATCCCTCTGATTCATCTGGGTCTTCAACTTCAAATTGTGACCCCTTGTTTCTGTGTCTCATCTCTGGAACATCCTGTCTCTGTCCACCCTGTCAATTCCTCCCAGTATTTTGTATGCCGTTATCATGTCTCCCCTAACCCTCTTGTCCCCCAGTGTCGTCAGGCCGATTTCCCTTAACCTTTCTTCACAGGACATTCCTCTTAGCTCTGGAACTAGTCTCGTTGCAAACCTTTGCACTTTCTCTAATTTCTTGACGTACTTGACCAGGTGTGTGTGTGTGTGTGTGTTTGTATGTGTATATGTGTGCGCGCGCGAATCACAACTAAGAGGAATGCAACAAAAGTAGTTGAAAGGAGTCGACAGAGATAAAAAAAACAGACTGAATTAAGAGGACCAGGATCAAGAGGACACAGGTGGAAGCTGAAGAGTCAGGTGAGCCATTGGGCAGTGCTACAGAATGCGGGACCAGGAGCCCGCACTTGATAAAGCACGTCAAGAAACTAGAGAAAGTACAAAGGTTTGCGACAAGGTTAGTTCCAGAGCTAAGGGGAATGTCCTATGAAGAAAGATTAAGGGAAATCTGCCTGACGACACTGGAGGACAGGAGGGTCAGGGGAGACATGATAACGACATATAAAATACTGCGTGGAATAGACAAGGTGGACAAAGACAGGATGTTCCAGGGAGGGGACACAGAAACAAGAGGCCACAATTGGAAGTTGAAGACACAAATGAGTCAGAGAGATAGTAGGAAGTATTTCTTCAGTCATAGAGTTGTAAGGCAGTGGAATAGCCTAGAAAATGACGTAGTGGAGGCAGGAACCATACACAGTTTTAAGACGAGGTTTGATAAAGCTCATGGAGCGGGGAGAGAGAGGGCCTAGTAGCAACCGGTGAAGAGGCGGGGCCAGGAGCTAGGACTCGACCCCTGCAACCACAAATAGGTGAGTATAAATAGGTGAGTACACACAACAGGCCTAGTGTCTAATCGACATGTGCCTAGGACAAAATGGTAACTAACACACACACGCACGCACGCACACTCACACACGCGGTGACAAAGACAGGATGTTCCAGAGATGGGACACAGCAACAAGGGGACACAGTTGGAAGTTGAAGACACAGATGAATCACAGGGATGTTAGGAAGTATTTCTTCAGCCACAGAGTAGTCAGGAAGTGGAATAGTTTGGGAAGCGATGTAGTGGAGGCAGGATCCATACATAGCTTTAAGCAGAGGTATGATAAAACTCATGATTCAGGGAGAGTGACCTAGTAGCGACCAGTGAAGAGGCGGGGACAGGAGCTTGGACTCGACCCCTAAAACCTCAACTAGGTGAGTACAACTAGGTGAGTGCAGGAGCGCGCGGAGAAAAAGAGATACATTCCGCCCTCACACAGGTGACCATGCAATCCATTTGAGCTGGCCAGGCAGGACGCAAAGGGATCACCTCCATATAATCAAATTGTTTGGGGGTTACCAGAGACACACACACACCCAAAACCTCTTTTACGAGAGGTTTTGGGAAATCGACCTGACAACGCTGGAGGACAGAGGGGACATGACAACGAAATATAAAATGCCGAGAGGAATTGACAAGGTGGATAGGGATAGGATGTTCCAGAGATGGGATATAGCAACAATTGGTCACAATTAGAAGCTGAAGACTTAGATGTGTCACAGGGATGTTAGGAAGTATTTCTTCAGCCATAGAGTTGTAAGGAAGTGGAATAGTCAGGGAAGTGATGTAGTGGAGGCAAGTTCCATACGCAGATTTAAGAAGAGGTATGATAAAGCTCATGGAGCAGGGAGAGAGTGGATCTGGTAGCGACCAGTGAAGAGGCGGGGCCAGGAGCTATGAATCGACCCTTTCAACCACAATTAGGTGAGTACAGTTAGATGAGTACACACACACACACATAGACAAGGTGGACAGAGACAAGATGTTCCAGAGATGGGACACAGAAACAAGGGGTCACAATTAGAAGCTGAAGACTCAGATGAGTCAAAGGGATGTTAGGAAGCATTTCTTTAGCTACAGAGTTGTTAGGAAGTGGAATAGTCTGGCAAGCGATGTACCGGAGGCAGGAACTATGTATAGTTTTAAGACGAGGTATGATAAAGCTCATGGAGCAAGGAGAGGGAGGACCCAATAGCGGTCAGTGAAGAGGCGGGGCCAGGAGCTGAATCTCGACCCATGCAACCACAATTAGGTGAATTAGGTGAGTACACACACATACACACAGAAAGGGATCTGGACAAGCTGCATGCCTGGTCCAACACTGCCTCCTGAATTTTAATACCCACCAACTGCAAAGTCAAGAAGCCTGGGAAAGGTCAAAGAAGACCGCAGACGGAGTACATACTAGCGAGGCCAAAGGCTGCAAACCTCACTCAAGGTAAAGGATCTTAGGGTGAGTGTCATACTGAGCACATCTCCTGAGGCGCACATCAACCAAATAACTGCTGTAGCATATGGGCGCCTGACAAACCTAAGAATAGCATTTCGACACTTGAATAAGGAGTCAGTCAAAACAATACACTGTGTATGCCAAGCCTATATATTCTAGTATGCAGCACCAGTATGGAACCAACACCTGGTCAAACACATTAAGAAATTAGACAAAGCGCAAAGGTTTGCGACAAGACTAGTCCCAAAGCTAAGGGGTATGTCCTATGAGGAGAGGTTAAGCGAATCAACCTGACGATACTGGAGGGCAGGAAGGATAGTGGGGACATGATAACGACACAAAATACTGAGAGGAATTGACAAGGTGGATAGTGACAGAATGCTTCAGAGATGGTATGTTGACAATTCAAAAGAGTCACAGGGATATAATGAAGTATTTCTTCAGTCTTAGAGTTGTCAGGAAGTGGAACAATCTGGAGGGTGATGTAGTGGAGGCAGGATCCATACATACCTTTAAGAAGAGGTACCATAAAGCTTTTGGAGCAGGAAGAAAGTGGACCTAGTAACGACTAGCGAAGAGGCTGGGCCAAAAGCTACGAATCGACCCCTGCAACCATAATTAGGCGAGTACACACACACACACACACACACACACACACACACACACACACACACACACACACACACACACACACACACACACACACACACACACACACACATTGAAACAGGGGATAGGTTCAAACAGATTATAAACAAATTAAACAAGAATAACACAGGAGAGAGACAAAGTAATAAATTACTTAGATGAGGTAATGTCAAGAAGGTTAGATCTAAGATCCAGGGATCGCTAGGTTAGCTTTGAGGATCGGTGGCTTAGATCTAAGGGTTGCTGAGTTAGATCCAGGGGTTAAGATAGGCCCAAGAGATTGTAAGTTAATATAATAGAGTTAGCTTCAATCTAAAAGTCGCTAAGTTAGATATAAGGATCGTTAAGTTACAGTAGATATAAAGGTAGATAACCTAGAATTAAGGGTCGTTAACTTAGATCAAAGGGATATTATATTAGAATTTAAAGGCAGTGATCAGCTCTAAGACACTAAGTCAGCTGTAACTTTTACACCAGATGGAGAAATGTGTTCTGAATGAGGCAACATTCCTGGGAGACTGCTGATAATTCATAGAAAAATACTAAGGAAGCTGTATAAACATACTTTACATGTATTCTCCAGGTATACTCCAGGTATAGGTATTCTCCAGGTATACTCCAGGTATAGGTATTCTCCAGGTATACTCCAGGTATAGGTATTCTCCAGGTATACTCCAGGTATAGGTATTCTCCAGGTATACTCCAGGTATAGGTATTCTCCAGGTATACATAAAATAATAAATATCCATTGTTAATAAAAGATTTTGCACCACAAACATGAAAATAAAACAGGAAAAAATCTAAATACTTCCTACATAATATATATATGCAGAACAAGCCACGAGGAAATGGAAATTTTTAGCACAAGATCTTTCACATTCTCATGCGTCGTCAGGAGCTATGCAATGTTGCAAGACTAACAACAGTTAGCGGGAGGAATATTTTGAGGGAAGGCAGAAGCGTAAAGCACCGGACCGTGTGACAGTAACGACACACCAGAGTATGACATATCTTGTGCAATAGATTTCTATCCCCTCGTGGCTTGTTAAGCATTGTTAAGCTCTCCTGTTTGCTAATATATATATATATATATATATATATATATATATATTCTTTTCCCTGAGGATGAGGGTCCCTATAACAGTTTTAGAGGTGGTACCTCCCTATATATTTTATATATTATATATATATATTAATATAATATATTTTATATATATATATATATATATATATTATATTATATATATATATAATTAAGAGGCGCGTCAGCTCCCCTGTCTTCTAATATCATGTTTATTTTTCCCCTGTAATTTACATTGTACATAATTACTATCACATTTGGTTTGTCTGTTTCGTAAGGTGAAGTCCAGGATCTTTACTTAATTCATGATATAACTTAACAAATATTTGAGGACAATTGTGTTGCAGAGGTCTGAGTTGCAACACAATTGTCTTCGTCGGCTGATAGGGAAGAAAAAGGAGGCGTGATGGTCAATGATTTTAGGTGAAGAAAATGCTGAAAAAAATAGGCAGATTTTTTATCACTATTAACAGGAAGACGAAATCACTGACAAATATGTTATTAATAGGAAGGAAGAAAGGAAGGAAGGAAGTTATGTGATTTCAAGAGTGAATGCTGGATACATCGCAGCAATCGGAGGGAAAATAACAGCAAACCAGGAAAAAATCCATCTCGGCTGACAAACAAAACTAAAAGTGCGAGATTCAACTCTCTATCAGCTAAATCTCTGATTTTACCAAGAAAATGCTCTGTAAAAAGCCCATCTAAACTCGAATCAGCGAAATTAATGAAACGTAAGGTCTGGCAGCCTTCCAGACCCCCAACAATAGAGGGAATTACATCAGCACTGTGTAAACTTATCAAGTGTTAAGAGGAACCACTGAGAATGATGTACGTGGTTGAGCGAAGCATTTAACTTTATGTTCTATGTAATATTACTGTAGAAATATGTGAATGAGAACACGAGGGTTATTAGCTGGTTTATAAATCGAGGGGACATTAAGCTGAACCCTCAGTGAGGTGGGATTTAAGAACAAGGTTCTGAACGCTGATCCTATTCACCTAACAGTAAACAGGTACCAAATGGTTCACTATGCTAGTGCGCATCGTATCTTAGTGGTGGAACTAACGAAAGCAGTGGAAATGAGCCATACTGCTTGTCTTTCAAGAGTTATCCTGGGTTAACCCTCTTGGGTTATTGTCAGTTAAGTATTCTTTGTTTATAGGACTTGCACTCGAGGACAGCTTTATCAAGTTATAATAACTCGATAAAATTATCCTGAGAGACATTATAAGAAAAAAATCTTATGCAGTTGTATGTGCCTCTCATCCTGGGCTCGCTGCCTCTGTCACCTGCTGAGGCTTGTACACAATCACAATCCTACTCTAACTGGCAGTAATATGACGTGGATGTGACGGATGTTACTGTATCTACCTGACTGACGACATGATGTATTTAACTAAGTTTACTTACCAAGAAATATAGAAAGGTAATGCATATCTTTCAGCTGGAACACGAATCCTACAACTGAGCTGGATTTATACTAGACGTTGACACCTGTCTCTCCTGCTGCCTCTACCAACACATCTTGGAGTCTGGGACTGGTGGCGTGGTCTGGCCTGGGTGGGCCTCTGAGGTCTGCGTCTTGACAAGAAGGACTGGGACCTATTTTGAGCGCAACTCGCTTTTAAGGCCTGATCCGCGCACCTCCCGCCCGCTGATTGGCTGATGACTCCATCCCGAGGGTCATGGCGACTTTGCATATTTTTCCCTGACATTTTTAGGAAAATATTGGCATATTGTGATCTTAAATGAAATATATTTAGGCTCGATTATTTGTTTAATTCCTGCATAACCAAAATAAATAATGTATTTAAAAATATAACTAATTTTGGTATTTTTATTTTTTTTTTCCTGTCAACTTTTCAGCCAATCATAGTCGAATGTTCTGATGACGTCATTGAGGCAAGAGCCAATCAGAGCCAGGAGGTACAATGGTCTCTGTTTACCTGGTGCAGAAGAACTCAGTCGTTCAGCAAGACTCAAAAAACAACCTTCAGTGCCGTCCTCTGGGTTATTCAGTCCACATGAAGACTATCTGCGGCTTCCCCAAGGACGTGGAGAGGTGCCTCCTGCACAAATATGCTAATTGTTTGTCACAGCAGATATTGATAACCTTTTACAAAGCTGTGGGTGGTACAGCCGAATAAGGCAAGCGAAAATTTGTGTTTGCAATAATTTCGCAAAAATTATTATGAACTTAACCAAAAAAATATATTTCATTGTGTTTGTTTATTATTAAATAATTGTAAACTTATCTAAAATATGTATAGTTGGATTAGGCTAAATAAAATTACGCTTGTTATAATAAGGTTAATTAAGTAAGCTTTTTGAGGTTCTTTTGGTACAGAATATATACCAATATATATATCTTAATATTATAATATTTTATATATATATATATATATAATATATATATTATAATTTTAAATATATATATATATTATATATAATATATATATATATATATAATATATATATTTAAAATATATATATATATATATATATAAATATATATATATATAAAATACCTAATGGTGAATGGGTTGTAAACAGTTTTTCAATGAATGATTGGCAATTATCAAAATCTGTTTGGTGGTATGAGTGGTACACCTGACTAGACATCTGTTCTAACATCCCTCATGTTTATAAACCCGTTTATTCAAACATCTGACTCCACATGGCCCTTCCAGGTTTATCACTACTATAATACTACTATAAATAATACTGAAACATCTACCTGTTTCTCCTATATATGTTTTTTTCCAGGAATTACCAAGAGAGGATAAAAAATAAAGATCTATATGTCAGCTCTTGACCACTAATCTCTTATTAAGTTAATTTTTGATTTAGGTTTGTGTACATAACGTATTTTTATTTTATTTTTTTGCACTGAGTTCACAGATGTGATGAACACATTAACCAGATATTGTTTATATAACAAACAAATGTTCAATGTTTGAGGAAAACTTTCTTCGACCCTTTATTGTGCATTATAGTTGAACATTGTGCATTATAGTTGAACATTGTGCATTATAGTTGAACATTGTGTATTATAGTTGAACAATGTGCATTATAGTTGAACATTGTGTATTATAGTTGAACATTGTGCATTATAGTTGAACATTGTGCATTATAGTTGAACATTGTGCAGTATAGTTGAACATTGTGCATTATAGTTGAACATTGTGCAGTATAGTTGAACTTTTGTGCCAGAAATAGTTGAACATGTGCATTATAGTTGAACATTGTGCTTATATTTTGAACATTGTGCAGTATAGTTGAACATTGTGCATTATAGTTGAACATTGTGCATTATAGTTGAACTTTGGCATTATAGTTGAACTTTGGGTGCATTATAGTTGAACATTATGCAGTATAGTTGAACATTAATGCAGTATAGTTGAACATTTGCATTATAGTTGAACATTGTGCATTATAGTTGAACTTGGCTTTAAATAGTTGAACATTGTGCATTATAGTTGAACATTGTGCTTTATAGTTGAACATTGTGCATTATAGTTGAACATTGTGCATTATAGTTGAACATTGTGCATTATAGTTGAACATTGTGCATTATAGTTGAACATTGTGCATTATAGTTGAACATTGTGCAGTATAGTTGAACATTGTGCATTATAGTTGAACATTGTGCAGTATAGTTGAACATTGTGCAGTATAGTTGAACATTGTGCATTATAGTTGAACATTGTGCATTATATTTTGAACATTGTGCAGTATAGTTGAACATTGTGCTTTAAATGTGAACATTGTGCATTATAGTTGAACATTGTGCATCATAGTTGAACATTGTGCATTATAGTTGAACATTGTGCAGTATAGTTGAACATTGTGCAGTATAGTTGAACATTGTGCATTATAGTTGAACATTGTGCATTATAGTTGAACATTGTGCATTATAGTTGAACATTGTGTATTATAGTTGAACATTGTGCAGTATAGTTGAACATTGTGTATTAATTAGTTGAACATTGTGTATTATAGTTGAACATTGTGTATTATAGTTGAACATTGTGTATTATAGTTGAACATTGTGTATTATAGTTGAACATTGTGCATTATAGTTGAACATTGTGTATTATAGTTGAACATTGTGCATTATAGTTGAACATTGTGCATTATAGTTGAACATTGTGTATTATAGTTGAACATTGTGTATTATAGTTGAACATTGTGTATTATAGTTGAACATTGTGAAATTATAGTTGAAAAATTGTGCATTATAGTTGAACATTGTGCATTATAGTTGAACATTGTGTATTATAGTTGAACATTGTGCAGTATAGTTGAACATTGTGCATTATAGTTGAACATTGTGCATTATAGTTGAACATTGTGCATTATAGTTGAACATTGTGTATTATAGTTGAACATTGTTTATTATAGTTGAACATTGTGCATTATAGTTGAACATTGTGCATTATAGTTGAACATTGTGCATTATAGTTGAACATTGTGCATTATAGTTGAACATTGTGCACTATAGTTGAACAATGTGCATTATAGTTGAACAATGTGCATTATAGTTGAACAATGTGCATTATAGTTGAACAATGTGCATTATAGTTGAACAATGTGCATTATAGTTGAACAATGTGCATTATAGTTGAACAATGTGCATTATAGTTGAACAATGTGCATTATAGTTGAACATTGTGTGTGGAGAAATTTTCTCCAGGAGGGGGGTATCAGCCCCCTTCAGCCCTTTCAGCCCCTTCAGCCCTTTCAGCCCCTTCAGCCCTTTTCAGCCCTGAGGGGCCAAGCCCTCTCAGAAGGGGCGAGCGTCTTGTTTACTGCTAGAGTGAATAATTGATCACAGATGCTATGCCACGTAGTCAAGTGACCTCTGCTCCTTGCAGCGGTGTTGCAAATTGTATTTTTATAAGAGACAGTACATTCTTACTTTAGCAGGACAATTAAGGAAAATCCTGCTCCCACTTTATTACCATAGTAAAGATAGTGTACATTGTTGTCTATGCTTTAAGACAGCAAGAAACAAACATTCTGCTTTGCCCTTTATCGAGGAGGTGACAAGGATGCAAGGTACTAGGCAGCGTTTTTTTTTGTTATTAGGACAGTGACGGCTTGGGGGGGTGTGGCATCGCCAGATTAACTTTGACTCAATAGAAAAGTGACCTGACGCCAGGGTAACCAGCAAAGAACACTGATCTTTTGGGGTTAGTGTGAACAAAATGTCTCAAACACAATAAACATAAGAGAAGTGTGATCACTTCTCTTGTGATACATTGTGAACAATAAAGACAAATCTTTTGGGAACATAGTGTACCAGTGTGCGTTTCCTAGACAATGGAAGACGTGGACATCCAAGGACACTTCAGCTTCATCAAATCACCGATACCTGTCGAAGGTGTTGAAACACCATAGCCACGTTACAAAGAGCAAGCTAAAGTTACGAATTTCTTGTAGATCGGGGGATTTCGCAATTCTTGAGTCACAAGGAGTTGTAATCAACCTATAATCGGCAGTAAGGTGTGGACTTTTGAGTCCAAAGAAGTAGGTATTTCGTCAGCCATCATCGAATGAAATATGCTGACATAACACCCCCTAGGGGTAATTTATACTTACAAATTGTATCTCTTGACAGCCCAATGTTGTGATGGTTTCGACAGCTTCTAGACCTCGTCTGCAGGGGCGGCTGTGTAGACGATTTGCTGTCATTTATCAGCTAAGTGTTCATTATATATAGTTATAATTTAAACACAGCAGGTAAGACCAATAACTTCAACATTGTGCATTATAGTTGAACATTGTGCATTATAGTTGAACACTGTGCATTATAGTTGAACATTGTGCATTATAGTTGAACATTGTGCATTATAGTTGAACATTGTGCATTATAGTTGAACATTGTGTATTATAGTTGAACATTGTGCATTATAGTTGAACATTGTGCATTATAGTTGAACATTGTGCAGTATAGTTCAACATTGTGTATTATAGTTGAACATTGTGCATTATAGTTGAATTTGGGTGCAGTATATTTTGAACATTGTTTTATTATAGTTGAACATTGTGCATTATAGTTGAACATTGTGCAGTATAGTTGAACATTGTGTATTATAGTTGAACATTGTGCATTATAGTTGAACATTATGCATTATAGTTGAACACTGTGCATTAAGTTGAACATTGTGCAGTATAGTTGAACATTGTGCATTATAGTTGAACATTGTGCATTATAGTTGAACATTATGCATTATAGTTGAACATTGTGCATTATAGTTGAACATTATGCATTATAGTTGAACATTGTGCATTATAGTTGAACATTGTGCATTATAGTTGAACATTGTGCATTATAGTTGAACATTGTGCAGTATAGTTGAACATTGTGCATTATAGTTGAACAACAGCACCTTTCAAGGCAGGTGAAATTGCCGACCTAGAAAATGTACAGAGAACTTTCACGGCGCGCATAACGGAGATAAAACACCTCAATTATTGGGAGCGCTTGAGGTTCCTAAACCTGTATTCCCTGGAACGCAGGAGGGAGAGATACATGATTATATACACCTGGAAAATCCTAGAGGGACTAGTACCGAACTTACACACGAAAATCACCCACTACGAAAGCAAAAGACTTGGCAGACGATGCACCATCCC